TTACTATGGTTTGTTTCTTCACTAAATGTTGTATTGAAATATCACAATCTGTAAACAGTAGTAACAGTGTGTTCAGATCTTGACTCTTTCATTGAGTAGTAAATATTGTCTTATTGTTTCCAACCTTAGAAGTATCTCTCTAATTTGCAGTTTTTTTTTCTTTGTTTTCTTTTACTTCTTTTTCTTTGGCTATGTTTTCATCTTTAACTACTTCCTCATTTTCATCTTTGACTCCTTCCTCATCTTCTTCATCTTGATTACTTCCTCTTCTTCTTTTCTACTTGCCGTTTTGATTAATTCTGTTTTTTACGTGGAATTCTTTTCAGATGTAATTTGGCAGTGATGCTGATTTGTGATGTGATTGTAGCTGGCATTGATGTTGACTGCCACAGTGTTGACTGGTCCATCCATGTGCCCCTTATGTTACACATTATCACGCTTGGTTTGGACCACTCTAGGCCGTTAGTTCATCAGCATTGTAAGTGCAGAATGTCTTTCATCTGTTTTTTCTCCTTTTTTCTTTTCTTTTCTTTTCTTTTCTTTTCTTTTTATTTTTTAGTAAGTGTTGCAAGATATAGCTATTACCATAAAAGTAGGTTTATGAAATTGTACTCATTTTTTAATTCTCTCTCTATCTCTTTTATTGTGGTATGTATCTTGCTAGTATAGATGTATTTCCTCCTAATTAACAGCCTCTCTGTTTTAGCTATATTATAGTTTGTCCAATATTAAACTATAATAATGTGTAAAGTTTATATAAAAAAAATTCTATTTTTCTTCTAAGTATGAAGAAATTTTGTAAATTTCTGTGTATGCAAGCATGATGATTAATACCTATTTGAAAAGATAAGTAGCAGTTTATTTAGAGATGTTTGTTGTATTCATAATAATTTGTTGTGATCATGTATTCTGCATTATTTTTGAAAGTGTTGGAGATGAACAATTTCCTTTCCCTAAAAGGTATAGTTTTTTATGTTTTGTACCAAAAATAATTTGCAATGATCAAATATTGTTTCTTAATACAAAGAATGATCATAATTCAAGGATATTTTTTCCCCCCACAGGTAAGATTTTGCTCGTCCATCTTTTGACTGTCGTAGCAGACCACCGAGATCATCTTGGTGTGGCACGTGTCCTCCTCAACAACAAGACAACACAGTTAGGCTATGGACTTATTCCTAATAATATCTTTACACATAACAAAAACTTCACAGGTAAGTTGTGATATGTTATATTGTAATGATTTAATATAGATTAGGATAGTTGAGGTATTTATGCTTTTTAGATAATCTTTATTAACTTATACTTTTTTTTTGTATGCTGCATAAAAAGTAAAAGCAGGTCTTAAATTGTCCAGATTTTTCTCTTGCTTTTCATATGTGGCAAAACATTATTAGAACTGACATCTGCAAAATCATTAAATAATTAGATTAACATTGTCAAATTCTTATATTTTTTATACTAGCCAGAGCAGAAAACCATGATTTGAAATCCTAAACAGTTAGATGATTCATACATATTCATCAAAGATTTTGCTACAAAAAATTACATACTCTTTCTCCTAAAACAGAGGAACCACCTACCGACCCCACCCCACCTATTGTGGCTGCCCCCCCTGGTTTCGAGAACCCCCCTGACAACATGAGTGACGGAGGTGCACCAGTTGGACCTGTGGATGACCACGCAACTCCAGTCATCATAACATCAGATGACAATGCTGACACAGTATCTGGCTCATCTGCCGTGGGAGTTGATAGTGTTCCCCAGGATGACTTGCAGTATAGCATCATGGCTCTTATTGATTTCATTGCCTCAAGGTAAATGTTTTTTCAGCTTCATAACATTTTTTGTACTATGATTATTTGTAAATCTGTGTGTGTGTGTGTGTGTGTGTGTGTGTGTGTGTGTGTGTGTGTGTGTGTGTGTGTGTGTGTGTGTGTGTGTGTGTGTGTGTGTGTATTAATGTATTTATCATGTCATTGAGAAACTTGAGTGTAAAAGACTTGTTTTTCCACTTTCTTCTTGGCCATGCAGCAAGAATCAGCCACTTTGGACTTACGAAGACATCACATCCAAGCAGTTCTCGATAAAGAGTGCTGATCAGTTGACCAACTATGTCAGACATGTTGTTACAGTAAGTGCAGAGAAGTGTGTAAAAGACATCAGTAAAAATGAAATAAGTTGTTGGTAAAACATGTATAAGCAGTATGCATAGGATAATGATAATGAAGTATCCGCAAATAAAAACTCATATAAGAGTTTAAGTAACCTAATGAGATTCATATCCCAAAAAATGGAGATTGGAACAGTGGAACATACAAGTGCTAAGGTTATATTTTTTTATTGAATAGAATGATTTAGATTAAAGATCTGTAATGACATTTAGACATTGCATGTAAAGTTTAGAAGATTTAAGTTGTTGAGATACATATACTGATCATTTTATGGAAATGTGCCACAAATACAGATTCAGTACTGATACTTGAAGTTTTGTATAAGTGTTCAATAAATTTGGCAGTTTATTTTTAGTTACTGATGTTTTATGCTTTCTTTAAGGTGTTCAACAACTCCCTTCCTCACACACACATAGAGGAGAGATGGGCCCAAAGAGCTCTTCATTTAGCTCTTTCCTGTTCCTCCAGACATTATGCTGGACGCTCTCTTCAAGTAAGGCAATAATTTTTTTTTCTATATTCTTTCTCTATATTGTCCTATTTCTTGTATCAGTTTAATGTTTTCTTTAACAAACTCCTAAAGTAAATAGTTTTATAATACAATTTCATTTTGAGAGAGAATTTTTGTTCTCTTGACAATCTATGAATGCTCATCTTTCTGAACAATTCAACAGGTATTTAGGTCGCTACACGTATCCATGTCATCGCGCATGTTGAGTGACTTGCTGGGACGTCTGGTGGAGACTGTTGCTGAGCAAGGGGAGGATATGCAAGGATATGTTACTGAACTTATGCTTACACTGGAGTCTGCTGTTGATGCTTTATGGAGATTTTAGGTTAGTGAAGAAACATTTTTTTTTGTCTTGTACTAGCAAAATTAAGTAATGATGATTAGATATGATTTACTTTTTTTTTTTTTTTTTTTTTTTTTTTTGTACTGTAAGATTATATTAGGGATATTGTATTGCGGAAAAAAAGAGAGTATTGGTCAAAAGTTTCAGATACGGTGATGACAGCGAGGTATTTATGTGACAGTTGTTGTTGAATTCCTAATGTGTTGTGAGTCATAGGGTTGATATGAGGATAATTAGTATGAAATATTATTTATATTTTCTTCTCTTCCCAAAGACCTATTGAATTTGTGCGTGAGCTGTTCAAGTCAACGCCTAATCTGAACAATAAGGAGCGAAAAGGACCTCTTGGTTATGGCATGATGGGTCACTTCTATGGTACAGGATACCCACCTCCTTCAGCCCCTCTCTCTCCAGGGGGGCACATTCGCTCTACTTCGTATTCAATTTCCTATGGTAGAGGAAAACCAATGGCGTCTCCTACTGCAGATATTAAAGGTTTGTCTGCATTCATTATAATTGTTTTCCTGCCTTGGTAAAAAGGGCTTGTATTTTGGTCACACTTTTTTTTTTTTTTTTTTAATTTCTCTTCATTTATTTTGTTGAAGGTGAAGATTGACAGACGCAGAGGCGATGTAGTTATGAAAGAAGTTATTAAGCTTCATTGAAAAAGTCTATGGATATAAATAACTAATACAGATTAGGAATAGTAGCATTTAATACATGTCATTTACCATTTCATCACAGTATTTTTATGTTTAAAAATAAGATGATAATAAAGAGAAAAAAAATCCTGCATTAGTAATGCTTGTTAATTGACTTGTGAGTTTTTACTTGGAGCAAACATATTTTTTTCCTTTTTTAAAGTTATCCTAGGATTAAAAGCATGTTTAACCCTGTTTTGACAGGGCCTGATTTTTTTGTGATGTAATATTACACAACAGCTAGACTTTGTGGCTCTACCTGTGTACTGCTGGTCCACCCATTGTGAGTCATGATGCATTTACACATCATAGGCTGTTACATCATAATAGCTATAGCCGTCAACATCATCGAGGGGTTAAAAGAGTTTTCTCCAATGAACATCAATTAACATACTGTACCTTTCTTCCTCCAGTGCAACCAGAGATGAGAGGTAGAAGTGGCACAGATGTAGACAGTCGCATGAGACAACAACAGCAACAGCAGCTCCAGCAGTCCAGTAATTTGTCTCGATCACGTTCTGCCCAGTCTCTTAAGCAGCTAGCAGATCAGAGTTCAGCAGATGATAAGATGACTGTAAGTACTGAATGCATATGATTTATAAGTAGGGTATATGTGTGTGTCTTTGTCTGTCTTTGTGTCTATGTCTGTCTTCTGTCAATGGCTACCTCTGTGAGTCTGTGTCTATGTTTATATTTTCCTCTGTCTCATCTGATGCATTTTTCTGAATTTCAGGTTCTTGCACAGTTGTTTTGGATTGCTGTGTCTATGCTGGAGTCAGACTACGAATATGAATTTATTTTAGCCATGAGACTCCTCGACAAGGTGCTTACACGTCTGCCACTGGACCGCCCAGACTGCAGGGATAAGGTAACATGTCTGAGAATTTGAGGGTCTTATCTTGGTGTTTATCTCCCTTTTTTTCTTCTTCTTCTTCTTTATCTTTTTTATCTTGATTTCATCAAAGTCAAGATCAGTTAACCATTTTCTGTGTAAAATTGCGGTCTTAGTAGCTTTTTTTTTTTTTTTTTTTTTGAAACTGGGCATTCTAATTCATGTTGTCAGTCATTTCACAGTCATTTTCTTTTTAACTTCACATCAGTTATCTGTTTAAGATATACTTTGTATATATCCATAGGTGGAAAAGTTGCAGCAGCAGTTGAAGTGGAAAGAGTTTCCTGGTGTTCACGCTCTCCTTCTGAAGGGATGTACGTCAGCTACCACATATGAACCAACAATTACGCTCCTTACACGATTTACACAACTGACAGATCTGCAGGTTCGCATTTCTTGTGTACCAAGTTAATAAGTAGGGCTAGAAGGATGATGATGTATGTTAAATTTCATGTGTCATGCCAGCTCTTTCATTTCATTTTCATTTTGGATCCTTAAACTTGAGTTTTGAGTGGTTTTCCACTTCTGACAGTGTTCATTTTATTTTTTTACTTTTACAGATTTAGTGTACTTATGCAATCATACAAATAAGGATCAGTCTTTATGATGCAAACTCAAATAGGAAAGAAAGTCAAATTAGTATTTGTATATCACAAGATACTTTTTGTGTATAGGGTAATTATTGCTTTGCTCACTCACTTTGGTTCTCTTTAACTTTTTAAGTATTATATATTGAGTATCCCCCAAATTTTGAATCTTTGCAGGTTGTTGATCCAACACAGAACCGTTCCTTTGCCATAAATGTCATTGCGATGTTGCCATATATGTTGCAAAATTATGAGGATGCAAATGCACTTTGTATCCAGTCAGCTGAAAATATTGCACAGGTAAGTTTTTTTTTTTCTTCTTCTTCTTCTTCTTCTTTTCTTAGTTTTTATTTTGTTTTTTCTCTCTTTTTTGTATCCTGTTTTATATATAATATTTCTAGATATTATTTTTATTTCCATTTGTTGCATAACATTAATTAGATTAATGATGTTCCAAATATACAGTAGGACTTATATATAGTTGCAAACATAAATGCAGTCTTTGTTGACTATATCTATTAGGAACAAACATTACATGCAAAGTAAAAGACAGATATTATGAATTCTTCCTGGATGGCAATTAATTTTTCAGTTTTTTTTTTTTTTTCTTTCTTTCTTTCTTTCTTTCTTTTTCTTTACCTCATTCTTTTTTGTTTAGTTATGTGATACTTAAAACCATGAAACTATAGTGAATCCTGATCAAATTCTTTATTAAACATGACAAGCCAAACATTTCCTTGATAGTCCTGTATGGTATGTTCCTTATTTGTCTTAGTGGAATAGCATTAATTCTTATTCCCTATTCCAGGTATGCAACAAGAAAGGTAAACAATTGGAAAACCTAGCAACAGTCATGACACTGTACAGTCGCCGCAACTTCAGCAAAGAAAGTTTCCAGTGGACAAAATGTGTCGTCAAATACCTACATGACTCATATGCCAGCCTCTCGCTTAGCCTGATGGCGTTTTTGGTGGAGGTGAGAGTTCAATTTATTTCTGTTGTCTTTTTTCAGAGAGGAGGAGAGATATTTTTCCATTAAATTTACATATTTCAAAAACATAGAATGATATATGCATTAGGCAAGTATTTTACACCTGATAGCCTTAAAAAAAAAAAAAAATCTGAATAACCAGCTGTAGATAAAGAAGTTGATAGAACCCCTCATTTCATTCTCTGCCAATTAGGATTTTTTTTTATCCACTATGGGCCGTGAAAGTTAACAATATTTCTTCTATTATGTATTTTCTTTCAATTTTTATACTTAAGGTATAGTTTTCTTTCTTTTTTACTCATAGTGTAGATGATTATGTTAACAGTCTTTTAGAGATTTTTTTTGTACAAGGACAGACTCACAGTTAAAACCCCTTACACATATTTCAGGTGTTGGAAAAAGGACCAGCAAGTGTGCAAAATCCCATTCTCAATATTCTGCACTGCATGCTCCATTACATTGACATTAATACAGCAGCTGCCCAACTAGTCAATGGGGATCTATTGAGGGTCATTGCTAAATACATTGAGGTAAGTTGTGGTGACCGATGAGAAATAGCTGAAATGTGTTGAATATGGGGTGATCCTTAGGATGGGAGAAGGGAGAATGGTTATATTTGAAATATGGTAAATTCCTCTCTGGACAAGTACATGCATGTGCACATGTGCTTACGTACACACACACACACACACACACACACACACACACACACACACACACACACACACACACACACACACACACACACACACACACACACACACACACACACACACACACACACACACACACACACACACATCTATACACACACACACATCTATACACACACACACATCTATACACACACACACATCACACACACACACATCACACACACACACATCTATACACACACACACACATCTATACACACACACATCTATACACACACACACATCTATACACACACACACATCTATACACACACACACATCTATATACACACACACATCTATACACACACACACATCTATACACACACACACATCTATACACACATAATATTTCTTTAACCCTTTTCACAGGGATCTCACTGGAAAGAAGCCCTCAGGATCTTGAAGATGGCTGTGACACGCTCATCATCCCTTGTCGTTCCTCCTGCCTCCTCTCATACACATTATTGGGATCACCATGTCTTTGCTGATATTGAATCTCATTTCAAGAAGGAGTTGCCTGGTGAGATAGGTTTACTTAATTATTTTTTATTTATTTATTTATTTATTTATTTATTAGATTGATTTGTGATTTACTTGTATTATGATTTTGCTTCTCTTCCTCTTTCTCTTCCTCCTCCTACTCCTCTCCTCTCCTCTGTTTTCTTTTTCTCTTCATTGTCTACTCTTCCTCCTTTTCTCCTCCTCCTTCTCCTTATTCTTTTTCTTAAACTTTGCCTTTCTTTTCCCTATCTCCATTTTATTTAGAAGTTATTAAATCTTTTCCTTGTCGTCACATCACATTCTAAAAAAGAAAGACATTGAATTACAGGTCGCACAATGGAGTTCACATTCGACGTAAGCCAGACCCCTGTCATCGGTCGTCGTTATCTCAAGGGCTCTGGGATGGTGGTCCTCCCTGGCCAAATCAGCGCTGGGTCATCTACTGTCAGTTCTGCAACAAGTGACAGTTTGCAGGATAGGGAACAGGTAAAGGTTTTTGCCTTAAAGATATGTTTAATGAGATTTTTTTTTTTATTTATGTAATATTTGAAGGTATTTTTATCTGTTTGCGAATATGAAATATTGCTAAAGGGTTACTGGTTCCCACCTTTTATCATTATTAAAGGCATAGATTATTTACCATTTTCTTTTTTGTGAATTGGGGGATGTAATTGACATCTTTTAATATGAATACTGAAATTACCATCATGATGGTACCATTCATTTTGCATGTCTTTAGAGAAAGTTCAGTTGATAGCAGTCATTCCATTCACAGGACATAAAGGGATCTCAATTTTGGAATGTCTTTTTCTTAATAAACTTTCTGTAGATTTCAGGGTACTTTTCTGTATATTTTCTTGAATATGGCCATAGTTCAAGTTAAGGGTCCTTTTTTGTCATTCTATTTTTGCTTTGATATTGAGAATTACAATAACATGAATATTTCTGTTATTGTTTTGCAATTTTTATGTCACATCTCTCAGTGAAATAGATTTTTGAAATAATCAGATACTTCAAACAATAGAAATTTCAACAAATTTCTTTCTCCAGGAACGATCCGTAAGTGACAGCGCAGGTGCAATGGGTATTGACCGAGCTGAAACTTCATCTCCACGTCGCAGTCTCTCCCTCTCAGCAGCAGACACCAACAACCTGGCGGGTTGGAAACGACCATGGTTGTCACAGGTTTGCAATCCACTGACAGTTGTTTTATAGTTTGTAATCATTTCATGAGGAGAGTGATTTCTTAGCAGTTTCAGAATGAGTTTTATGGTATATTAGTGATAGAATTTTGATGATTATCCCAATGTTCTTTATTTGTTCAGAGGAAGAATATATATTTGTTATGAAGGATGAGTTAACAATTCTTTGAAAATATTTTTTTCCAAGGATAATATCCATATTTATAGCATGTTGAATGTTGAAAACAGGAAGAAGTTAATGTGAAACAAAACATCTTATCATTAGAATAAGATCGTTATAATTGTTATATATTTTAAACATGATCTATATCTCCTGCTTGATGAGATGAAATCAAAAGTTTAAAAACCTTGCATTTGAGAGTGAAAGTTGATAGAATGAGATGAATTAAATATATGTACATATAAAATTTCAGGCACGTGTAAGAGAGTGCTTAGTGAACCTCCTGAACACTTGTGGCCAGCGTGTGGGTCTCCCCAAGTCTCCGTCGGTACGTAGTCCTGGTTGTGGTTGACTGTGATGCCAAACGGTTCAGTTTGGCTCTTATGTGATACATATGATTTATTTTGAAACATTCTAGGAATTATTTGACAAACATTTTTTCTTTCTTTTTTTTACCTTTTTGTTGGAAATCCAGTATCCTCAAGTTGTGTTTTGATAGTATCATTTGAATGGTACATTTATGGTTGATATTCGTTGTAAGTATTAGATTTATAATTGCTGTAGATTTTCAGAATTAATTACATTCAGGATATTTTCAACAGAGATTGGCAATTGATATATTGAAAGGACTGATAAATGGTCATTTCAAATAGTAAAGTAATTCTTGGTTCTTTCTTGTTTGTTTTTTCATTTGAAGTTAAAATATTACACAGAGTATTTAACAAACATAAAAAAGATACACTGTACTAGTTTTCTTTATGTTTACATCATTTTAATTTCAGTTTGTGCAACAGTTCATCTGTAGCGCCTTTGTTACTTTTTTGTTTTCTGACATTATTTAGGCCTTTCAGTTTCTGTTGTTGTTGTTTTTTCATGTCATGGCATGTAAGAAATGTTCCTATATTTTTCCCATGGTTTTGTATAGCTGTAAAAATTTTACATACTAATTAATATGTATTTTTAAAAAGATGTTAGATTGCATGTCATTTAACATTTTATTAACCCTTGTTTTACTAAAATTCCCAAAGTGCTTGCTTTTTTCCTTTATTGTTATTATTATTTACAAAACTATTTTTTCTTGGTACATTACAATCTTTTTAACATTCAAATTGAATATATGCATTTCACATTCACATGTATACTTACACAAATACAAACACACACAGACTCACATTTGAACACAGAACACCATACCCACAAGCATGGACACATACATACCTTCAAACACACATGCACGCACACATCCCCTCACACACACGCACACGCACACACACGCACACACACACACACACACACACACACACACACACACACACACACACACACACACACACACACACACACACACACACACACACACACACACACACACACACACACACACACACACACACACACAACACAACACACACACACACACACACACACACACACACACACACACACACACACACACACACACACACACACACACACACACACACACACACACACACACACACACACACACACACACACACACACACACACACACACACACACACACACACACACACACACACACACACACACACACACACACACACACACACACACACACACACATATCCCCCCACACACACAGATATACACATTTGCCATTTAATTTTGTCAAGAGATACAATATTTATTTATACATTTTGTAAATAAAACATAATCATGATAATAATCATAACTATCAGGAGTTACTTTCAATCTCAAGTAATTCATGTCAAGAAGAAATTCTTCATTTCCTACAAAAAAGACAATTTTAATGAGTAAATCACTGATAGATACTATGGAAGAAATGACATAATGGAGTTGCTTGACAGTAACCTTATAATGTGAAAAGTCTTACATGCAACTTTGCCAATCATAAAAAGAAGTATGGAAGTGCATAAGAATCTACGTATTCCTACATCCATATTTTGAATATATAAAGTTCGTAGTCATCTTGAGGTTACTGGAATTTTCAAGAAGATTCTATACTTGTTATATATAAGTTCTATATTTTTGTTCATCAATGTTTTAATCATTCCTCAGACCCTGCATAGATTTGAGATGATAGTGTAGTGCTTGCTTGGAAATGAATTACGTGGAGAATACGCTGAACTATCTTGTTATCAGCTTATGTAATGAGTTCAGCCAGATATTTAAGGGCTAGATTCATTTGTCATTATATATGGCCATAAATGATAACAAAAGTTATATATTTATTTTCTTTCAATGAATAGGTTTACTAATAACAGGGAATAATCACCTACTCTTTTTCAATGTATTATATATATATGTATATATTTATATACTGATCACATATATTCATTGTAAACATATAATACAATAGTTGTATCTAATACATAAAGTTGCAACATTTACAGATATATTATACAATGAAATAAGACTTCCAGAACAGCATGTTAAGTTCTTAATTGTTTCAGGCTGTATGGGTTTCTGTACTAACTCAGCATGAGACTTCTAAAGTAGGTAGTTTCTAATATTTATCCACATTAGTATCTAGCATGGCAAGCTTTCTGTGTCTCCTGTAGACACTGTCATGCTAATGCTAAGTAGTTCTTTGGATCTTATGCCACATATCCCAAAAGAACGAAAGTGTCACCTTGGAAAAGCTCTTGCCTAAATATAATTTTTTTTCCTGAATTAATGATTTCTTAAAACATCATGTTGTTTTGAAAAATGCAGAGCACAAGATGTGACATTTTTTATTATTTATTGTGTTTCAAATGTAAGTAATGACAGTCGTCCTAGTATCGTTCCACACAAATTTGTTGACTGTGTTTAGCATGGATGAAATGATTATGTTTGGCAATTCCATGTAAAGTAAGAAAGATTCTTTATGTTTAAAGTTAACTTTCTGAAATAAATTTGCTTTTTCATGTTTTATGCAATAACAAGTCACAATTTTGATAAAGCTCAAAATTTTCCAAATTTTCAAAAACCAGTTGCAGTCTTTATAAGTAAAATTTATTTGTTCTTTGTTTTGATATATTGCACATCATAGAGAAACGTTTGTCTCAAACACCAAACTGTGTGTGGGAAATGTGGTAGATTCAATGTCTCTTTCAGTATATCATCTGCTTGAAGATTTAACAGCAATTAATGCATTTTTTCTCTTTCTTGTTACAAATATGATGCCACTGTTTTTTGCAGAAAAAGGGGCATGCTTTCATTCAACAATTGTTACACCAGCACTTGGAGTTTGTAAATATGTGCGAGCTAACCTCTGTTTACGGAAATTAAATCAATGCATTAAGTAAAAGATAATATGGAAGTTAAATCAGATAATTTTGGAAGTCAGTCTTGAAAATGTGATTCATATATGGATAAACAGCTCTATGTCTAGGTTCTGCTCTCTGACACCAATATCTGTCCACAGAAAATCTTTGCACTTGATGATTTCAATAATTATGCGTGTAGATTTCCATACTACACCATTTACATATTCACAATACATATATTTAAAAACCTTTACACATTTGGTTGTACATTAACAGACTCAACTGAAAAGACATGACAAAGCAGGCATATTCACAGCAGTTATGATACATGTCTAAATGCGCAGTTCTAGACACTCGCATCTAGGCATATACACACAAGCACACATACACATACAAGCACTCATTTATGTATAAACACGCATTACATATACTAGCACTTAAATACACACAAGTACATGTACACATACATGCACTTGCATACACACTAGTGCTTTTGTATATGCAAGACTTCACACACCTACAAGTATGCACATGGAAACCAGTGGACTTGCATATAGACAAATGCCCACTCTCCCTCTCTTCTCTCTCATATCTCTCTCCCTCTCTCTCTCCCTCCCTCTCCCTCTCTCCCTCTCTCCCTTCCACTCCCCCTCCCCACCTCTCACACTTTTTTACATATAGGTATGAATTGTAAAAAAAATACTCTGTAAATTTTCTGTATCAGTTATATATATATATAAATCCATGGATGAACACATTTTTCCATATTATGATATTAAATCTTTTAATGAAATCAAATAGAGGTTTTAACATGGGATAAATGTTTCATATATAAGGAATAATGATGTTAAAAAAAAAAAAGCTGGAAAAAGAGGCTGATCATGATAATTGTACATTTTAGCATGAAATAGACCTTTGAGAAATTGTTGATCTAGTAGATGAGTAAGTAAGAAAATAGGTAGCTGCCTAATTATTTATTGTAGCTTCAATGGAGTTTTTTTAATCAGAGAGCTAAGAGAGTACATTTTCTTTTCTTACTATAAGCTTATTCTTATTGAAAGTAGTGTCACTGATATATGGTGCACAAAGAGAAGTCACATGTTTTTGAGAAGTGGATTACACAAGTGGGAAGAAAATGTATTTGAATAGCTGTCTGGTTTCCAATGCCCTTCTCCTTCCATACAACAAAAGAAAAAAAGAGAAAAAAAAAGAAAGTAAGTCTTGTGGGGAATGGCATGGCTTGGAAATTAACCTCGTCTCTCGTGTCTCTCTTCGTTCCATGGTTGTTCTGGTAATGGTGTGCAGCAGGATGGCAACATCAGTAAGGTAATTGTCTCTCATGAACCAGGAATATATATTGGCACTAAATTTACTAATAACAACATCACTTTTGATTAGCAAGGCATAATGTCTGGATTAAAAAGGATATGCACTTTCTCTTTAGTAAGGCATATGTCTGGTGTAGGTAAAGGTATAAATGAGATTGGAAAACCTCATAGCGTAGGCAATTCAGTCTCATTTATGCCACTATCTACTATTGTCATAATGAACTCTGTGCATATGTCTGGATTTTTAAAAATGCACTCTCTCTCTATTATGGATAAACATAGATGTATGCTCTAGATATGAAGATCTAAATGGCATTTTTACTCTATGGAGGGAAGATAGAAATTAAAAGAAACCTAGGTGTATTTATGTTTTTTCCACCTCCCAGCAGTTTATATTGCACCTTTCTATACTTGATGTAAACTAATTCCCATCAAGATAAGGTTTTATAGTGATATTGTAGTATACCAATTTTTTGTGTCATTTCATAATGTTTTCAGATTCTGTTGATATTTTATTCTAAAGTTTATGGTTGTTTTCTAAATTATAACTCCAAGGGATGAGCTTCCCAGTACAGTATATATCCTTGGTTCGAAATTAATGGAAGTGGACTACAGTGAATTGGCATATTGATTCCACTTAAATTATACGTATTACTAATGTTTCAGCTTGTTACATTCCCTTTATTTTCTTGCCTAATATACTGTAGACATTTCAAGACCTTAGAAACTTACCAAATGAGGATTCCTTTGAATGTTTATAAGCTCAATTTGATCCATAGAAATTAGACAAGAAAAAAAAAGACAAATTAAAGATAAAAATATGAGTAGACTAGAAAGAAAAGAAAAAAAACTTTTGATTTCTTGTTTGCTTGTAGTTATTCTTGAGTGCCAGACTGACGTACCTTGTTGCTTGCACTTGCTTTTAAAAATGCTTTGGGCTGCCCGTTTGCTTGTTGCGGCTTGAGGAACTGTTGTTGCATGCTTTTGAGAGCTTTTGTTTTTGTTTTGTTTTTAAGCATGAAGGAAAAAGCACCTTTTGTTTTTAGTTTTACTTGCATGATTTTGTATGTGGGTTGCATATGTAGTGAGGTATGCATCTTGTTTTTATTCATTATAGTAGATTTGCATGGAAACATTTAGTATTCAAATCTTACATTGTGATACTATAGCAATAAGTATGATGGTCCCAGAAAATTGTTATTATTATTATTCAGTAGATTTCAAGAACTTGACATATATCATTGCAATATTGATAGATATTTACTATAAGATTATATTTTTTGAAATATTGTAGGATATTTTTAAGGTGAAGAATGTATTTCTAAGCTAGATTAATTTATTAGTCATAATGATAAAAGAGATATGATAGAAATATTCAAATTTAAACCATGCCCGTGTATGCCTGTTTGTTCGTGTGTGTTTGTGTGTTTGTTTTAATGTAAGCTGGGCGTGTGTGTGTGTGTGTGTGTGTGTGTGTGTGTGTGTGTGTGTGTGTGTGTGTGTGTGTGTGTATGTATGTATGTATGTACGCACATGCCCAAGAGTATATGTATGTATTTGGTAATTAGTGTGATTGTTTATATGTGTGTGTGACTGGGATTCTACTATAACTAATCATAACTTGCCTCCCATATTAAAAACTGCATGATCCAAACTAGGAAAAAGTTGTCGCATGTTATGTTGTAAGCTTTTGTAATACTAATTTTGTTACGTTATAGCACTAGCTGTCCCTTCTGGAATATTCATATCTTACATCACAAGACTTCTAAATGGTCAGCTGATATTAAATGTGTTAACCATACGCACCTTACACCAACTGGTAGTGCAAACACCTTATGTTCCATTTCACGCTTAATCTACTTGCTGTCGTCCTAATATTAGCATAGTAATAGCGTCTCTCCACCCCTAATCTAGGTGATATTCAGTCAAAGCTCCGAGCTAGAGAGACAATCGTCAATGGCCTCATCGACCGAAGAAGTGTCAGTCGCCCCAGGGGACACAACAAACGACCGCACGGCTGATGACATGACTTCGTCCGAGAAGCAGTTCGCAGTCTTCAAGGACTTTGATTTCCTTGAATACGAGCTGGAGAGTCAGGGGGTGAGTGGTGAATTCTTGAGTTTAACATATTGTCTCCTTTGTTCTCGTTACCCTTTATTTAATTTTTATGTTTTAGGGGCTTCCTTTCTTCCAGATAGTTGTACCTAAAGTTTCAGTTTTTTTTGTTTTGTTTTTTTGAGTTTAGGGAATCATCATTATTATGATTATCAAATTGATGGTTACTTTGTGATCTGCTTAGTATTAACCCTTGTTGATTGTTTGATTGAATGCCATATATAACATTTTCTGTTTGGCATGCATAATTCCATATATCTCTACATTCCCCAAATTTAGGAAGAAAGTGTGGACAACTTCAACTTGTGGGGTGTGCGTCGTCGCTCCCCAAACAATCTTGGGGATGGTGAGCCTTCCAGCCACATTGATGACGCACAGAGTTCAGAGATGACCCCATCGCACGTCAAGAAGCCAACCCCCCCTGCTGACCATGAGTGGTGGGAAGAAGAGGGTTCCGTATCACCTGTAGATGATCCTGCCATGGGCCCCAGTGAGCGGTCAGCAGAACCCTTGATCCACCATGCTCAGCCTGCTGCAGCTCCTCATACCACCATAGCACCCAAGCTAACCCTTGATACCATTGCTGCACGCAGACCTGCCTCACCCACATCCATGTCTGAGTGAGTAAGGGAGTGGGTGCTAAAAGGATATAGAGTGGCTTGAATCCCCCTTAGCTGTAATGAGTTCATTTCATTATCTTAGAATGATTTATGTTGCACCATGATATACTGTGTCACCCAAAGTCAAAGCTTTCTACTTCTCATCTTTCAGTCACAGTGAAAGCAGTGATGGTGATCTAGGTGACATGACTCCTTGCAATGCATCTCCTAGTATTGCTGCCATGCTTTTCCGCCCAATCCGACAGCCCAATGATTTAGAGGATGCCTGGCGTGCCCACCTGTTGTCTCTCATGGCAGCTGATGCCCCCATTCCACATCCCACCAGGACTTGTACACTCTACAACACTGTATTTTCTGTGAGTTGTTAGTCTATTGTGTATGCATTATTTTAAGCTAATTAGAAATTACATTCTAAAATAAAAGTAGAAACACCTTATTTTCATTTGTCAGAGGATAGACCACTGTGGAAAAATAGGTGTTTGTAAGATGGCATTTCAGTTAGGTCCGTAGTGGCTAGATACATAATTATGTGCTGATCATCAACAGGAATGCGTTGTTAAGTTTACTGAGCTAGTGAGTGAGAGCAGCCACTACCTGGGAGAGAATGGTGAGATGATTCCACTTGCTGCTTCCTTCTTGCATCATATGGAGGTTTGTGCTTTTCTTTCTTTCTCATTTTTGACCATTCATTCAAGTATTTGACAGTCATAGGCATGTTATCAAATCTTCACATAATTTCTTGTGAAACAGACCAATAGATGATGAATGATTAGAAGAATGCATCATCATATGATATTTATCCAGCAGTTCTCACCACTTTTTTCAGACCGTTGGATATCTAGCACCTCTAGCATACGTGTATGTAGACGCTACCTTATTGGGAAGTACACAGCTGATGCAGCGATTTAGGTCAACATTCATCGCTCTCCACGAACACCTTGACACATACCTAGACAAGAGGGAGAGTGCCATTGTTGTGAGTTTAAATTTTTTATATATTTGTTGTCTTCTGTTGTGTGATTTTGTTGATAATATAGAATAATATATTGACCATGTCCCCTCAGTGAGGATGGCATGATGTAATAGCCTATGACTTGTAAATGTGTCATGACTCACAAAAGATGGGCCGGCATTACACAGCTTAGGCCTAGCTACAAAGTCTAGACTATTGCATAATATATTACATTGCAAATAAATCAGGCCCCATCACCATAGGTATACAAAACATAAATGAACAGAAATTACTTTTTTTTTACAATGTCATGATGTATAGATGATGATAGAGTAAGGAAATTTAGTAGTTATTTTGATGCAGTCAGATTAGTATATCAAAAGGCAATCACATGGCAGTGCAGTTAGAAGATATTAATGTTTTATTTACACCTTCCATATATAAGTACAGATTCAGTCCTCAAATTCTTTCATATTGTAGTTTATCAAGTGGAAATTGCATGCATGTATACACAAACAAACCACAATACTTTTTATAAATCATTTTGTAATAATCTGAAGCGTTGATCAGTTGATTTACACCTTCCTTATACCTCCAGTGTCTCGATGGTATTAAGTCGACGCTCAAGCTCCAGAATCTTGGTGAGAGTTTACCAGAACTGTGTGCAGACGAACAGCACATTGACCTGTGTCGCTGTTTGTACAAGCTGCACTTCCAGCTCTCTCTTCTCTATGACACATATGCCAAGTTTATTGTAGCAATGCTACATGCTGCCAGAAACAGCCAGGTGAGATTGGTTGACCTTCAGCATTTCAACTGATAATTGACGTTGAAGAAATACAAGATAGGTCCAAAGATTTGTGCAAGAATATGATCACATGACATAGCCAGTCTCTCTCTCACCCACACACAATCACATATATTTTCTAATAATTTGTGTTATTGTACATACTAACAAACAAAGTACTCATATTCTGTATCACACACACACACTACTTCTTTTACCTCAGGCTAGTGATCATAGCGTGGAGCTGAGTGCACTGCAGGGAAAACTCATGGCTGCAGCAGAGCAGATCGATGCCACCCCCCCAACTACCCCCACTCGCAGCTCTCACTCCTTGCCACCAGAAAGAGAATTGCCTGAGGTGAGAAAAGACTAAGGGTTTATCAATGCATAATGAGCCTGAGGGTGTGTGTATGATTTATGATTAGTAAATTGTATAAATATATATGCTATTGAGGGTACCTTGTATTCTTATTTTTAAAAATTCCTTGGATGGTCTAAACCTTTTCCTCTGTTTTGAAGTTGTCTCCAATTATCCAGTTTCGCTTCACATTTCAATATGTCTGTCTTTGATTCTTGGATATTTGAATATTCCCTTTAACTGCCTGCTTTTTATTTCAAGGGAGAGGAGGGAGAATGTGAGAGTGTTGGAGGAGAGGAGAGTGAAGGAGGAAGCGCATGTGAGAGCAGTATCAGTCGTGCAGAAGGAGGTTCCCCTGTCAGTTCCTCATCCTTGGGATCCCAGTCTCTGGAGCTTCCAGTTGCCCCCCCAGGTTCTCGACCAGAAGCAGAACGACAGGTGCGTTAAATGATGGATTGTTTGAATGAAAAGGGTTACAGGTATGTTACTGAATATACAGATTGTCACAAGCTTTAACTCTTTTGATTTGGATGACATGACCATTTCTCATTTTAAAAATTTGGTTTGAGGGGCATGTAATGTGAAAATGCCATCATGGGAAAATCTAGCCTGGGTGAAGCAGTCTCACTGTCATGAGCATTTCAGCTGAAGGCTGGGGTGACAGAAAAGATTAACCACAAATGCACAAACCTCTTGGAGGGTGATTAGCTTCATTTGGTGTTTAGAAAGGGGCTTTTGCATTACTCCCTTCAAGAAATGAGTGTGGAATGTAATGTAATGTGCCAGCTCCATTGAGGATCCCATTTCCATCCTCATCATGGAAATGGCAAGTTCTTTTACAGAAAATTGAAATTATATAAATAACTTTTTTCTTTCTTTCTTTTTTATTCCCCTTGCCCTGAGTCATGGACTACCAAGAGTGATGATATTGAGTTTATGCAAAGAAAACAGTCTATTGCCATCTAGATAAACGCAGATCAAAAGACAAATGTCGACATTGGAAAATGGCAAAAAAACTAAAATGCGTATGATAAAAAGAGAAAATAACATTGCAAAGGTGAGGCATAGAGTCTTGTTACTGTACACAAGTTTTTGCATATGCCCGGCCTGCAAGCAACGCACCCATCAGAGCGTGAGCATAAGCCTAATACCAGTGATATTGCTGTGAAGCAACTGGATGAAATGGGTTAATTTACCCTTTTATATCTGGACCGTTGAAATACTGGATATCTCATTTCCTTCTATATTTATAAAATTAGTTGAAAAACATGTTTCAGACCCAGACATTTATAGCAGTTTATTGGAAAATACATTTTTAGGAGCAGATATGAGAAAATCCCCCAAAGCATGAAAGACAATGGAGGCAAAACCGTGACTCTTTTGCTCCTACCTCAAGTATACAGTTCTGGATAGAAAAGGTTAACCCTTTGAGTAGGCTCTTTGAAATGATGTGCTGTCTGGAAAAAACATGTTT